ATGTACATTTTCCCTAGGGACCCAATCCTAACAACAACAGTGTTACCAGAGTAGCCACAAGGACAAAAATGGCATCTGGATAAATGCACTTATTGTGAAAATATCTGTCACATAAGGTGATAAAGAATCTTCATTTATGTTCTTTTTTTGCAATGTTCCACTGGCAGATATTAAGAGCCTATAAACAATGGCAACATTTAAAACACACGGTTTTGAATTTTAACCACATGTACAGTGTATTTAACAAGAACTCTGTCACAAACCTGCATTTATGGAATTAGTCAATAAAAACCTGTCAGGCAATAATTGATAGATAAGCTCTATATTGTGTTTAAATTATGCAGTTATCCATCTTAGCCTCTGAATTGCTATTCAAATGTGCACAGCAAATGGAGGGGCTATATATCATGTTGTTGTGTGTCCTTCATAGAAAGAAGAGCAGAACAGTGAAATCAATGAATTTTCTTCAGGGATTGTTTCCTTGACGCCTTCCCTTCTTCTTTTTCTCCATGTTAAATGTGACCCGGCTACCAGATATTGTTCATTGGTATACTCTTGCTCCTTCTTAGCTCCCTCATTGACATAACTGAGGGTGGAAATCTGTTTTTCATATATATATATATATATATATATATATATATATATATTGTCCTGCCAATGGGGCAAAGTGGAGTCATGCTGTCATTGGCAGTATATGAATTATATATGAGCCATATCCTCCTGTAGGATACTGTCATCCCCCCCTCCCACTTGAGAGAGGCTTCAGAAGACAAAAAAGACCTACCACAGCCTTGCCCTCCTCCACCTCAGTGAAACAGCCATCTGAGTCCTCGTCTAAAGGAATAGAAGCTAGGAGAGAAAGCTCCAGGTGGTTGGGAAAGGCAAAGGGTTTGGTGTTTGGCACAAGCCCGAGTCCCTCCATCACAGGTGAAGTGAGAGGCTGAGAAGCACCCTCTTGAAATACAGTCTGTAAGTTGGATTGGGCTGAGTTGGTAGACTTTATAAGAGAGGGACCCTTCCCCCTTTAATATGCTGGAAGCTCTCTCAGTCTGTTTCTACTGTGAGATATGACCATATGACTTATGATCCTGGACAGTTTCTTGATCCTGATGTCTTTGTACTCCTATTTGGAATCTGCTTTGATTTATGGCTTCTGACCCTGGACATTGCTTGTTCCTCAATCTACTGGACTTTTGGGACTCTGTGTTCTATTACAGTGTAAGAGCAAGACAGATATGGGAGGCCAGACACAGGACAGAAAATAGCAATATGTGGCACTCTAGACAGTTGCTTTTGTTTTGTTGCTTCCTGTGTGAAATTTGCACTATGTGCCATGTGACTTCCCAATGAGTTGACTACTTTACTTCCAAATCTTTTATTTCTCTTGTGTTACACTACTACCATTACCACCATGTAAGAGTGCTTCTGAATATGCAATTATACTTCTAGAATGAACCATGCAATAGAGGAGTAACTCCCAAGCCAAAGTGATCAACAGGACAAAGAAATCTGGGAGCAAACATGGCCATTACTATTGTCCCATTAGTAGAACATGCAGGCTAAAAAAGAGAAAACAGCTTTACAGTAACCAGTCATGCAAAAGAGCTACAATAAAACAGCCAGCAGCAAATGAAGTTTTCCAGTGGGATGAATCCATTCTCAGCAGGAGCAGTAGCAAGATGTGTCAAGATGCTGACACACCACTAAAGAAGAAGACCTTTGTGCTGTTATCCTTCCCTGTTTTGGGCAACTTTTATGGGATCATGAATTATTTAAAGAAGGGCAGAATGGGGACTTTTTTGTAAAAATCTTTTCTTTTATAGTCTTGTAAGTTGAAAAGACTAAGGAATGATCAGCAAGTCCCAAAATTGCACTGGCATGGGACCCAAGCTTAATGAGCTTTGACAAAGCTGAGGTAAGAATGAATAGATTCCCCTCAGTTCCGAGTTCCCAGTCTCATTATTCTTCTATGGGTTCATTCTTCTGATCCACATTCCATTCTGCCTGTCTTACAAAATGGCATCAAGAACTGCTTTGTTAGACACACAGAAAGATACAGAAAGAGTATAGACTGGATTTAGGTCTAGCACACAGGGATAGAGTGATGATTCACATGCTTATAGAGATAGACCAACCTTGTATTAGCAAGTAAGAAATCATCTTACAGTCAGATGATTCATCTTATAATCAGACAAAATCTTGTCTGATTTTGGAAGCTAAGCTGGGTTAAGCATGGTTGCTGTTTGGAAGGGAGGTAGATCACCAGGGAATGCCTGTTACTGTAGACTGTTTCAGAGGAAGGCAATAGCAAGCTGATATCTGAGTATTCCTTGCCTAAGAAAACTCCAAGAAATTCATGGGGTCACCATAAGTTCACAAGTGACTTGATGGAACATACTTTAATGTCAAGCAGAGCCTATAAAAGTTACTTTTGGAGACTACAGTTTCCTGAATCCTTCAACCAAGACATGGTCCAAAAGTAACTTTTTTATTTTTTTAGTAGTAAGTAATCTTAAGCCTAGAAAGCACAGCTGTGCTAAGCATTCCAATTCTATAACTGGCTACTATGAACTCATTGCCAATTGTTAAGGAAAAATGTTGTAGTCCAAAATGATCTGTGGATTCCTTCAGCACAATATATGAAAAGAGCCTAATTGATTCTTTGACTGAATATGAAATCCTACCTGCTCATCAGCAGTTATATATACTGCTGTCCAAAAGTAATGTCATAGTAATATTCTTCATGCATCAAAAGGCCAAAGCCAGTGTAATAAATGGATATAATCCTCCACAGTTCAGGAATTTTCTCAATTATGACATGGGTACCTATAGCAAAGGAATGGGAAAAGACTAGAATTGTTCATTTATAGAGTTGTTGTTGTTTTAAAAAAGAAAAATAAAGCAATAAAGCAATCCAATGATACAGTTCAATCTATACTACTGCACTAGGTAAAGAAGAGAATAAAATGAATCTATCAATATAGCTTTATTAGTGATTTGTTTCCATTTTTTACATATGTGTTTCAGAAAAAAAAGTTACACCAATTTCCCCTCAATACCATATTGGTCAGTGAAATGACATGTTATCTTGAGCTATTATTGTGTTGTTAAATACTGTCACTGGATTCCTATATCACTATCTATATTATGTAACTTTACACATACTCAGCTATGTAGCAGAGACAACAAGAAACCTTGTTAGTGGAGTGCAAAGATGTGTAAAGGATACTAGCGAGAGTAACTGGTGTGCACTGGTGCTCAATGAACATTGGAACTGATGTCATGTACAATGACAATTATGCAACAGTCATTTTGTCAGCTCTTCTACACTGTAATATAAGAGTAACATTCTAATGAATAGAGATATTATGCAACTGTCCAATTCTAATTCCCACGGACATAAGTCCACTTAAAAAACTATAATTCCACAACAGGATTCTGTCCAATGTTGTTGTTGTTTTTTAACTTTTATCTGCGAGATGCCTTGGGTCCCTTCTAGGAGAAAGGTGGCATACAAATAAAATAACATAATAAAATAAAATAAAATAAAATAAAATAAAATAAAAGGATTATTTTTACATGCAATCATTGTGGGCATTTTTTTAAATGACTGATATATTTTTCATTTTGATAGAAAAATATTTAAAAGAAGAGAGAAATAATGTCCAGAACCCTGTTGTTCTCTTAGATATCTATAACTTTCCCTATGGAAGTGGTTGAACATTTTTGTCTGGTGCACAAAGTCCATATTTAATTCAAGGTCGTGGAAAGAGTTTCCCATGCAGTGTCATTTTACATACAGATGGACATTCAGCTGTGCATTCACTTGTACATATTCAATTGTGCATAGCTGCAAAAAAAAAAAACCCTCAATAAACATATTACTCTACATGCTGGGCTTTGTATTATTGTTTATTTAAATATTTCTCTATTGCCTCCTAGATCCCAAGGGCTCCCAAGGTGATGAACAAATAAAAACTAATTTAAAAATACAAAGATGAAAACATTTTAAAACACATTAGAACAGAATCATAGAATCACAGAATCATAGAGTTGGAAGAGACAAGGGCCAT